TGCTTTTAATTAAGTGTGTTCCTCTTCTTTATTGTTTTTGGACAATGGTTTGCTTAAGGCTGGATTTGGCCGCGTGGGTATCGTTGAAGGAAGCGCAGGACAAGTGGGAGCACCTAATTGCTTTAAAATTAGATGTTATCAACCGTCCAAGCAATTTAGATAGTATTTTGTTTTTTCTTCTTTTGAGTGTAAACTAGTTATCATTATATATAAAGCATGCAGTTACAGTAGCAATTATGACAAGGATTATTGAGGTCTACCACCCACAGTACTGCCCACCAAAACTTCAGAAAGCTGTTGAGCATTTCCATCCAAACAAATCAATGAGAAAATTGATCAGGTTTCATAGAAGACTTCAATTCTTTTGTCAAAGCTGGTATAAGTTCAATCCCACACGTGTAGTTGGATAATTTGTTACTCAAAATGAAATTTCCTCAATTTTGTCACTAGGTGACACCCTTACAGCTAGCAGGTACATAAGGAAAAAAAACGAAAAGATTTGATACAAAGGCCAAAAACATAAAATTAAAATGTTCTTGGCAGATGCCCAAATGGCCACATGAACAAACATATGCATGGTATGTACATGGAATCTGTATATAATAGAACTCTGAAATCTCTTCTCTCTATTCTCCTTTCAAAACAAATACATGTTACAATCTGTGGACACTGTACACTGTTTGATCAGAATTAAAGTTAGCAGACCCCAAGGGCACACACTTCCTCAGCATCGATCGCCTGTTCAAATGGCGTAAATGCCCTTTCGTTCCCCTCCTGCTCTTCAAATCAATTCATCAGTTAATTAGGTTTATGTCCAATGAAATTATATATAGTACTTCATTGTGAAGAAGGTGACCTATTTGTACTAGCTGTTCGTCATTAGGATGGGATTTATTATAGTAATTATAGATAGCTGAACAATAAGAGAGGCTGATAGAACCAGTTAGTTAATAATTTGCAGAAATTATTAACTAATATATCACTATACATAACAGTAGCCATTAAGAGAGAGAGAAAAACGAGAAGAAGATGAGGACTAAGGCATGATTTGACAGTAGTGCTAGTTAATTATCGTAACTTATTAGTGGCGGAAGAAACGCAACAAACCATACGAATTGGAGTTACTAATCCGAGTGAAGCCCCACCCTCTCTAGTTACAATTCTTGAAGCTTAGTGTATGTAATGTATGTTACATTACGTTGCAGGATCCTGGCACTTTGCCACAAAATAAAAACTAGTATAATTAAATAAGCAAGGGAGAGCCACTTGTGCTGTACTGATGCGTGATACGGCTGAAGGGGGCTGCTAAGAGCTCTTGGAGTTGCAGGCATCCAGAGAGTGAAAACAACTGAGAAGTTGAGCTCATACTAAAACACCCACCAACTTGCAATACGCACTTAATAATATTTTCTAGGCTGCAATTATGTTGCAATATGTACGACCCTTCTTTCTGGAGTTGCTTTGCCTACTATTCTCTTTCCAAGCTACCTTTTGGTCCCCCTGTTACACTTAAACATTTCTATCAGCTGATATCCCTTCTTCCATGCACTTCCCAATGGTTTTTGCTTGCCACCTCCTCACCTTCAACTTAGGGTTTTAGCATTGTAATTAAGATTCTTACATAAACCTCAACGCACCTCATGTGTTTCTTCAATGAAATTATAACTTAGCATCATTCTAATTGGACATCTAGCTCTCAGTTAACTAGGGAAAATAATTGACAAAATGAAGTGATTGGAGCTCTAGTGATCCACAGCAGATTTGCCAAAAGCTTACGAAGATGCCGTCACAATTGACCAGTGGCTCAGATTCACACTATCCGTTATAATGGAGACCCGAATCATGATTAATTAATGCTAATCATAACCTATTACCTCAACGATCTTGTCAAAGCTCGACCTATCAAATACCGAATAGAGAACATGGGTCGACCACGTGTCGCGTGTAAGGCGGCCGCCCAATCTAACCCCATGGCCCACAAAATCAATTTTATGGCCTGAGCCCATGCACATGCTAGGAAGAAAAAGAAATTGAGGTAAACTAACAATTAGACTTTGGGGGCAAAAAGAGGGGTGGGCCCGGACCGGCCCTATAGAATAAAAGGGCCCAAAACACGTTCATGTGATGAACACGTGAAATCTATATGGGACTTCCGCGCCCAATTGGGTTCCAGTCAAAGTAGCTGCTTTTCTTATTACATCCACGTGGCAGTCATGATCGAGTCTCAATAAAACCCATCATGATACACGTGGCATCGACACGTTGATTCTATTTTACCTGCACCAGACCACAAGGCATGCAGAGGGGGAGAGGGTCAGAGGGTCAGACCCAGACGAGAAAAATGAAAAATAAAAAAATAAAAAAATTATCAAGGTCGGGGGAAGGAAAGTTTGAAAGCTGGTAAGGGTTAGGTCCCCATACGGCTTTTATCTTTCACCTGCCGACGAGAGGGTTATCGGATTGGGAAGGAAATTTTTGAGTCTTTTGAAGGCTGGATTTCTCTGAAATAAAGTGAATGCAATCGTATCACTCCAATTTGCAAATGCCTTTTACAATTAATACATGTGCCCTTGGGGAAGAATGATTTTTCGAGTTTATATTTTCCCAATTTAGTGGGTCCTATGCCATCATCCATCATGCTCTGTCTTAATTCTAAAATAATTAAATGAATTTGACAACGATATTTTTAATTTCCTTCTAAAGAAATAATTGGCTTCAACGAAGACTAAATGCTTTCTCCAGGTCTTACTAAAAAAGTACAAACAATGATGTGGATTCTACTATAGTTTGATGAGATATAACAATTAATTCTCCATGGTATTGTACTATATATGAATTGTGATTTCCCTTTTAAGACAATTTTATTCCAAGCTTTTTGAAACCTTTAAAAGCAAACTTTGATCACCATTAACTAATTCTTAATATCATGCTAATGTGGGAACAGTTGACTTAATACATATGGAAAACTGTGGAAGATATTATATTAGAACCTCTTTCTTTTTTTTTTAATTTGTGAATTTACTTTTTCTAAGTCCAAGTTGACCTGTTACCTCCAGTTGAATTGGGTTTGACATTTCGCACCGAAAACACAGGATCTCCATGTCCCACCTGGGATTACACAAAGATTACGAAGAGGAAACAGAGCTAGACATAAAAAAGGGGAGGATGTTTCCTTCTTGTCTTCCAAATCCTCCAAAAGGGAAATCCGTTTTGTGCTTTGCTTAACTGGAGCTTTGGGTCATGCATCCATCCAATAAGAAGTCAAAGAAAGTGTTTAAAACACAGCTGCTAATTATAGGGTTAATTATATGTGTTCAAACTTTAGCTTTAATTTTTTTGGGTTTCTGCCAACTTAAAAGCTTCGTCAAAAGCCCTTAAACAAAGCTAAGCTTTCCGACATTCTTTGCATTATGGTTTTGTAATTTGTCATCATTCTCCCATTACGTGTGGAAACGACCTTTTTTTTTCCTTGCCTGTTTAATCTTTTGTAGACATTTTCCCCATAATGCAGCGGGAATGAATCTATAGTAAAATCCTTCAGGACACATAATTGGAATTGAATTGGATATATAATATTCATAGAAATACTTCATGCAAGCAAATCCATTAACGGCCACTGCCCGTGGGGAACATGTCTATTTTCTTTTATTTCCATTGTTGGAATTAAAAGGTTAGAAAGAAATATCTGATACATGGAAAGCATGCTGACCAGATATATATTGAACCTTGGCCCATGAATTAGATTGATCTTAGTATACTGAAGAGATTATGCTGCGGGTGGTTGGGCTGACAATTGACTCAAAGAGCCATCTAAGAGTGACACAAGCACTGGAAAATGGAAAAATACAAAGAAAAGAAGTGGAAAAGGAGAAATGCCATGGTAGCACGCCTGCGGCGAGGATAGAGAATTTGAGATGATGATTCCAGATTGCTGGGCCAAAGAAAGGACAGATTCAGTTCGGAGGGTCATTTTTTATATGGGTCTTTTAACAATTAACAAATGGTGGCCCATCTACAACTTTCGCAAAAAATATCTTTCCGAACCCAGAGCACTGGCATTAAAGACTGTTGGGCCCAACAATTAGTCATTGCACGGAGAAATTATAAAGTCGAAAAAGTCGAGAAAAATCTTAAGCAATTTCAAAATATATTTATATTTGATGTATGAATACACCAAATATAAATATATTTTGAAATTGCCTCATTAATTTCTGTCATGTAAATTGTAACTTTACCGTAAATAAGTTAAGCTGAAGGTTTATATAAGCAAGCTAGGCTCAACTCTCTTGAAAAATAAAAAACAAATTGGTGGGAAACATGAATAATTTGGGTGAGGTCTGCAGAGGACCCATGTGGCATGAGGAGGAGCGTGCCGATGTTTTTGCATCTCAAAACTTGCAGATATCAATTAGCAAATTGCCTAGTCCCAACACTTTCTTGCTCTGCAATGGACAGAAGGCCTGAGATCATGCATGTGTTTACATAAATAAATAAATAACCTGCAAATTTTGTGGCCAAATTTTCTTTTCTGATCGGATGTTGCCTTGCGCATGGCCTAGATTCATTTCACGCCGTAACCCTGCGGATAGCATATGCCAGATGGTTACACTGGTTCAGGGTCCGACGCATTGGTTTAGCACTGCAGAATCACGCTACTGGGGTTTTAAAGGTACAATGAATTTCCATATTGCCCCAGCAAACAAAAGCCTTCTGCTCGGCAGGATAACAAAATATGGAATCTACAGTCCTGTGATTCGACATTACGGGGCCTAAAAAGGCCATTACAACTCAATGCGTAGGGAGATTGGTCAGAAATATATGCCTAAACACAAATAAGGGTTGAAAGATTTCCAACAATCTCAGGGCTGATGCAAATCTATTGTTTCATTTGTCATAATACAATAAAATTTCTCGAGCAGACATGCATCAGACATTCAGGTGGAAAGGGTGTGAGAGAGAGAGAGAGAGAGAGAGAGAGAGAGACACTTTGACATGAGATTAAAAGATAATACTCTGTAAACTGGGACTACCTGCTTCACTATCATTTCTTACAATGATATGCCTCAACAACAATACCAACGAGGGCAATCAGCATTTTGACAACAGCTCCAACTAGGACATACATAAAAAAAAGGGGCCAATTCTTTGCCAACATACTCAGGAAAAATTTGGAAACTCCCATGGGAAGAATCCAAAAGACAGCAAAGCTTCTTCAAATTTGAAAAACAGCTTGGTCTCCTATCCTTTAATAAACTTGTAAACAAATTTTTTGGTCTTCACCTTAACCCCGGGCCGAGAACACATCCAAGTGGTTCAAACGATCATAGGATGAAGGCCCTCCTAGTTGAGAATTTTTTCTCACATTTCTGTGCCTGTTGATGTCATCTTCTTGCTTCTCTGAATGCTCTGTATAAGCAATCTGATGCAGATGCAGCATTGCTATCATGCTAACTGCGAATAAAGCTGCATTGCTTAGTATCCCACCCATATGATCAAATTTCAGGGATTTCTTTGCAAAGTTCCAGCTAGAAACAAAAACTTTGATTAGTATATTAGAGCGCTTCCCTTCATGTGATGCAAGATTCTCCCCAGATGGACTAGCTGGTGTACTGTAAAGGTTTTCAGGTGAAACAAAACAGCTAGCATCATGTACATCTCCCACAAAAGCTAGAGTTTCATCAATTACTTTGTACTTTTTACCATGGTGTTCAGCCAATCTCAATGCAAGAATTATCCGGCTTTGTTCTAATCGTGCAATGGCAGCATCTCTCTCAGCCCGCTGCTGTGTGTGTACCGTCTGTTAAAAAGAACGAAAAGATATATAAGGGATCCATACATCATGCTAATTATTGACATCCCAAAAACTTTCACAACATAAATTGTAAAAGCAAACAAGCCAGATAATTTAAAATGATCACCACAGCACCTCCAAAAAAAACAATGAATCCCTACCCACTGTTTCGTCACTTGGGGTTTTAAACCAAGGTATTAGGACTCAACCCATTCTTGGGTGCAAACTTTTGCATCTCCTAGCGCTAAAACTCATATGAATTCTTCCCTTACATTTTGCTGTTACAACAACTTCAACAAAGTTCACACAATGCTTCTGCATGTCAATGTCACTCAGCACCACATATAAGCCATCTCGACCAACTTTCATACATCTTGTGATGCTACTCCCAAATCCTAATATATCTCCTCATCATCTCACCATTCTCTCCAGACGCCAGAATCCCAAAAACTATAGCAACTTCATTTCAGCTTAAGCTATATCACACATACCATAAGCTCCCTCCTAAGAACCCATAATGTAAGGAAGCTTGAATGCGCAACCATTGAACAATTGCCTAGATGATTCCTTCCTCGCTTTGTTCCTTTTCAATCCAATCCATGCTCTCAGTCCCCTATATAACCCTAACAACAAGTTCATTTTCGCCGTTCATTTTTTACCAATCCATTCTATACAATATAGTTTGGTTAATTATAAACTACATACTCAAAAGAATAAGAAACCTATGAATCGCATTTTCGTTTCTTTTTTAACGTTTCCGGCTTCCCCTTCTATTCCTCAACCAATCAAACAGAGCTTTAATTGAATTTGCAAAACTAGAAGCAAACTCTTTCACTTCCCGTTAAAAGAGCAAGAGGACATTTCATTCGGTTAAATTGAGACATTTCCAATTTTACTGTAGAAATTAACAAAATAGAACCAACCCTAAGCAACCAAAATCAATATCCTATTTACATTCCGTTATTTTTTTTTACATCCACCAAAACCAGTCAAAATCCGCGACCAGGTTTTGGAAATGGAAAAAGACAAAAAAAAAAAAAAAAGGAGTTACTAACGTGGAAAATTTCGAGCTGGTCTTCGAGATTCTCGAGAGCGGTTCTGATAGCATTAAGACTCTTGGCCTCTTGAATGGCCGATTCACTATCGTCGATTCGAAAGTCCTTCACGAACACGAACCCGGCCCGGTTATCGTCGCCGACGGCGTTGTTGTAGAGCTTCTTCTTGTCGGATTTCCCGAGGGCTTTGATGGAGCTAAGGAAGTGAGCTCGCGAAATCGAGTGAATGGCGTCGCTGAGCTTGTCGTGTAAGTCCCAGATTTTCTCCAGAACTGCCTCGATTTCCTCGATCTCCATATCCCATTTCATTTGTGAGGCGAAGGTACAGCGAGGGAATTTGTTTTTCTAGGGTAGGGTTGGGTTTGGTTTGGTTTAGCGCTCTTTCTGTTACCCAAGGCGTTGGAAGATTTGACTATTTCCAGTGCGGTTTTTGCTAGGGTGGACCCTCCTGGCACGGTAAAAGTTTTTTTAACAGTCAAAAATCGAAATTCAACTGATTTTTTATATTTTAGTGGCGGGAAATTGAAATTCCCTCTAGTTTACAATTTGAAACAGATTTCTTTCTTCAATAAATAGAAACGAGGAGGTAACCAGGATTACAAGTGACAAGGAGATAACTTCCATTTGCCTTTAACCATGTTTACGTTTCCACAATTTTCACGCTTACTGGGAGAAAAACAGAGTCGCCATTTGGTACAGTGTCCTAGAGAACAACGGTTGCGGTTCTTATTCATAGACAGGCAAAAATTAAAACCCAAACAAAAACAAGGCAAAAGGCTGTCGCCTTTGGCCTACTTATTCAACTGTGTTTTTATATCTTCGCACTTCACAACTGGCTTGCTAATCGTATGATCATCATCCAAAGCTAATAACTTACCCTTCTATTGCTTCAAATAACTTCCAAGCGGCCGCTTCCTTGCATAGTAACCGATCGCCTGGCTGCCATCTGAGTCTCATTCTGGGCGCCGCCATCCTCGCCTGAAATTTCTTCTAAAGACCGTCCTTTAGTTTCTGGCACCAGGAATGTGAAGCAGAATCCCAACAAATTTGTGAAGGCCAAAACCATGAGGGCACGCTTAATGTTGCTGACACTTTGGTTCAAGGTATATGATTGAACCACGAAAGCCCCAATCATGGCCCCAGCCTTCCCAGACGCTGCACTCAGCGCATGACAAGTAGACCTCACCCGGGTAGGGAACAGCTCGGCGGGGAGCACGAAGGTTGTACTGTTGGGGCCAAAGTTGGCAAAAAAGAACGTTAGCCCATAGAGAGCTGCAAATAACAACTTATTTTCTTCCTTGAGATATTCGTATTTGACGCCCAGCAAAAGCATGAAGATGGACATCATCAAGAAGCCCACTAGTTGGATGATGAAGCGGCCAATCTTCTCTATGAAAAGGACGGTGAACCAGTAACCTGGGAATGTACCGAGCAAAGCAACGATGAACATGGCTCGTGAGGTCTCGTAGACTTCTTCGATAGCGTTAATTTCAGGAGCCAATTTGGTGAGGCCCATAGCGGGAAAAATGTCCTTTTGGGTTAGGTTTTGGCTGTAGAAAGCAATATCCAACAAGAACCATGTGCTCATGGTACCTAACAAATGGCGCCCATGGCGTATGTAAAACTCATGGGACAGTAATGGATACTGGTTTGCCGCCTTGAACTGGGAAAGCTTTTCTGCTTCTGCGTCGAGTTCAATGTCAAGGACCCGACCCATATCAGCCGCCGCTTGTTTGGCATTTCCTTCGATAAGGGCAGTGTAACGACCAGTTTCGGGCATCTTCATCCGCCAATAGTATGTTAAAAGAGCTGGTAAGGCACCGAACATCAGCACAATCCGCCATAGAAAATCCGCTTCAGGTTGAGTGGAGAAGATTGGGTCTGCCTTGAATGACTTCGCTGGGTAGCGCTTAAGGAAGATTGCTGAAAGAATCAGGGAGACTAACCCAGCAAATATAATCCCCACACCTTGCATGGCAAAAACGGCGGCAATGAATGCGCCACGGGTTTTTTTGTTAGCATATTCAGACATAATTGTGGCAGAAAGAGGATAGTCGCCACCAATGCCGAAACCCAGCCAAAATCTAAAGAAACAAAGTGTTCCAATCACAGATTCCGCGGTGGACCCAAACGATAGACCCGAGCAAATGGCGCAAATCACCATGAGGATGAGAGTGATCCCGTACACCTTTTTGCGACCTAGTTTGTCACCGAGCCAACCAAATACCAGTTGGCCGCTAAGAGTTCCAAATAAGGCTACGCCAGTAACAAAGTTGTTAACGTTTTGAGGGAGCTTTCCCGGATTGTCGCTATGATCAGGATCATAGTAATAAAGGCGGCCCAAGAGTTTGGACACGGCGGTGATGCAAAAGAGATCATAGGCATCTGTGAAGAAACCCATGCCAGCGATGACAATAGCTTTTATATGGTACCATTGCGTGCGAGCAGTGTCAAGAGCTTGGAGCACTGCTAAATTATTGTTTGAAGCCATTTTTGTTTTTGGTTGAGCTTCTGCTTAGCTCCTCCCTGGTTGCTGAGTTTTGCGTCTTTGTTGGCTCATTTTATATAGGAAACTATTAAAGCAATAACAATAAAAGACTAAAAACGTTGTTACCAAGGCTTTGGGGTAAGAACAAGGAATTGAGAGAGGATATTCTGCAAGCTTCGGGGAGTGAAGGGATATGCTAATCAAATAGGGACATTAACGAATTATCGCCTCATTTTGATCCCCTAGGAAATTCATAATTAGATCCAGCGATCTTGACATCCAATGCTCTCATGCATTTCGACATCAATAATTAAACTTTAATTTGGTTTCTCGGGCATATGGTACAATTCTATAACTTGCTGCACCAAAGAAACAACATGTCCAAGTTATGGAGCTAAACTTGATAATTAATTCGTCCAGAGAACAAGGTTAATTGGTTTTCTTTTCCCCTTTCATTATCATCAAAATTTTTACTACTAGTTTTTCTTTTTTCCTGTGTAGTGGCATCAAGAGATAATGGTTTGCAGCAGCTGTCAATTTTATGGGAATATAATTATATCTTTTGCATTTTGCAAGTTGAAAGTATGCTGTTTCCTTGCAATTAAGTACGACCGAGTGGTTTTCATACCAGTATTATTTTCAATAATACAGGGTCATAATCAGGTTTATGATAAGTTCTATGTATACCTGCAATTATTTTTTAAAAAGGAAACCTAGATAACACACACACACACATATATATATATATATATAGTAAGATTAACTCGTATGAGATACTTTGATTACTGCATATGAAATGACAAAAAATGATTTTCACAACAAGAACGTAAATGCTTGCTTTGTTTGGAAGCATGTTGTTCTTCTTTGTTGTCTTTCTTTTCTTGTCCAGCATTTCAGGTTAATTATGATAGATAGAATGCTGGAATATGCCGCTGTAGATTTCAAAATTTTAAAGGATCCGTTCTTCCATTCGTCTATAAATCCTGGCCACCAGGCCTTTTACACAAATCTGCTTGTGTAGTTTTTCTCTTGTCATACCTACATCCCAACATTAATTTGGAAGACGAACATGCCACAATCAATTGTCAATTTTAATTGTTGGACAATCATGAATCCAGACAAAGATAATCTAAGCAGATATTTATAAAGAAGGTAAACACACAAATTTAATATGTTTGTTAAGGAAGAAAGAAAAAGGGAAAAACAATGGATACTAACTCGTTCAATTAATCCTATGATTATGATATATTGCCTCAAGGCCAAAATGTTTGAAAATTTTGTAGTAACAAAATTAACCAAGTCATTTTCCCATAGAAAATTTATCTTCTTTTCACCTCTTTTTTGACGGATCAATGTTGAAACTACTAGTTAGCATCAGACTCTAAGGAAAAGTAGTATTCTGTGGTATCTGTGTCGTGCTGAATCGGCTGTTGGCCTGAAATCTGAATACATGGTGCTGCCGCCTGTAGTGTGCTGCCGTCCAAGGACTCATTACGGGCTGCGATATGCCTGCCCAATGGGCCTCGAGACCCTCAGCCCTTATATTTGAGCGGTGCTTGGCACGGCGGGTGTCAAGCTAGGCGGAGCCGCGTCACGCTCGACCTAGCCGTCCCGGTTTAAATGATACATGCTCAGTCAGGGGAAAATTTTGGGGCTTGGATTGGAATGGGAAAGTCGTATGGGTCCATCAATGGGAGTTCAAGCCAACATTGCCGAACAAGTTCTTTCTAACTTTTTAGATTCATAATAAAATTCATTTAGTCCGGCTTCAACTTCATGAAATAGAAAACTGGTTTTAGAAATTGGACCACCTAAATGCTAAAACGACATTTTATAGAAAAAAGAAAAAAAAATCATGACATTTGCACCGCATTCTAATTCCATATACCATTTTGTGGTTGCGAAAAATTCGGCTGATTGCAAAAGTCCCAGATGTTTGTATTTCCACTTTGGAAAAAAAAAGGACGCGTGTTCGATTGAAACTCCATCACGTGTTTCTTGTTTGTCCGGCTGTTGGAATTAATTACTTTGGATTAACAAATTCTTTTGATATATTGAGGTGAAATACTTTTAGGGTTGCCAAGGGGTATTCAACGACATTTTATTCAATTATATAGTATATGAATATTTTATATTTGGGTTTTGAGTGGGTACGGGTAGCAAGTTTAGTACCTATTTTAAGTTCATATAGGATTCGAATATTACCTCCTAAATACATGATATTTGAATTTGATTATGAATGTTTATTTATTTATTTAGTATTATTTAAGCTGTTATTTTGAATTTTTTTAAACTAATTTATTGCTTAAATTTTTATTTAATATTTATTTATTTTTATAAATTTAATTATTAATAAATTGTATTAATAAAAATTATACAATATAATTATTATCTTATACAAGTACAGATTCACAATCTCAAGTAATTAAGATAATAAAATTAATTTTTTGCACCATCACGTAATTAAATGAGTTTGAGTAATTAATAGGTAGGAAGTACAATATTAAGATTCTGAGTTCATATACGAAATTTCAAAAATAAATAAATAATTGTAGAGTTTAAATATCTTACTTATTGATAGAGTTTGGAATAAGATATCATAAAATTTTAGAGTATCCTATCCATTAACAACCTTAAATCTTTTTATTATATGCCTAAGCACAATTGGCCAAAGGTAAATAAAGTTGTAGATTTGCAAATTTATGTGTAATTGTCTAATTGAGAACATGAAAAGAAATTATACTTATTTGAATTCGCATAAGTCTCACTAATTGTTTTATGAAAAAGTTTTGGTCATTGTTTTTAATATGCCATCATAGTAATAAAATTGTTTTTTTTATTTGACATAATATCTAATAGTGTCCTCGAATTATTTAACCTTTAAATAAATTTTTAAATTTTTATTACATTCAATTAAGCTCTTATACTTTTATTTTAAGTAGAATAAATTTTTTTACTTTTATTTTAAGTCAATTAAAATCTTATAACTAATAATTGACTTAGTCAAAATTTTATTCATCATTTTTATGTTAGGCATCACTGATGTGGTATACTAACATATTATAATTAATGATAATATGACATGTTAACATATCATAATTGATAATGACATAACATATTAATTTGATATAATAAGTTATGACAATATCATATGAATATAAAATGACAAATGATATTTTGAATTAATAACAATCAATTATTAATCATAAGAATATATTTGATCTAAAATACAAACATTTCGACTTAATTGTACGTAATAAAAAAATTTTATTTAAATATTTTTAAATAATTTAAAAATTTATTTGAGTATTATATTTTTTTAGTAAAAATATTAATATTATTTATTATGGATTTATATGGAATGTTTCAATTCAAATAGAATTATAATACCTATAATATTGGCACTTTTTTTAAAATTTTTGTAAAAATTTTATAAATTAATGTTATTGCTATTTAATGTTGTTCTAGGTAAATCAGCTTAGTACGGTTTACCGGTCTTATTCTTTTACTGGTGCTACGTTTAGGGTTTACCGTTCGCCGTTTAGAACGCCCGACTCAACGCGAGTCGCGCCTCCTTTCAAGCACAGAATAGAAAGCCCTAGAATACCTAACCGCAAAACGTTTCATCAACTCAAATTTAAGGTCCTGTTTGCTTTTCTATACCTTCTTTCAAGGATTCGGCCAGTTCTATTTTCACTAATTTCCCCCTTTAACCACTCCGCCAGTGATTGGCTGGTTGCACCAACACAGAGCAAATCATTAGTGAAAATAGAACTTTCCTTGCTTTTGATCAAAATCTGATAAAACTGTTGTTTTTTTTTAACCATCTCCAAAAAGAAGATAAAGTCGTTTTCGAGAAGTCTCCCAAACGTGGCCTAAGGTTAAAGGGTTCTGTGCGTCTCTCGCTTTTATTCTGGTAAGCATTCTTCACTCCTTTCTTAAGTCTTTTTTTTCCCTCTTCCCCAAGGAACTTGGAAAAATTGGTTCAATTTCCTCTTTTTCCCCAAGAAAGTCAATAAAAATGTCCTAATATTAATCATCTCAGAATCAATCCGTCGTTGATTCTGTTTTCACACTTTTATTTGATCGATTTTCTAGAGAGAAGAATAAAAAGAAATAAAGATGGTGGAAACAGAGCGACGAACACAGTATCTATGGACGAGTTCGGAGCAATCTTCAGGACTTGAGATTAACGGTCATGTTTTGTCCATCACGGAACCGATGATAACCGATAGAGATGGGAGCGAATTCGGTGCTCCTCGGGACCAGCACAGTAACAATAAGCCCGATTCGAATCTAGGGATTGGAGAGCGAGCTTTCTCTGCTGCCGGTGCCGCCTTTTTATCCGCAATTATCGTTAATCCTCTCGACGTTGCCAAGGTAATGATGATCAGCACGATTTTTTTTATTTACTTTTGGTTGCCTGCTAGGTCGATGTTTGGATTTTCATTGGATTGATTGTTGCCTTTTAAAAAAAAAAAATTGCTTTTATATGCTAAAGACATTCGTACTAAGTTTTCTTGCAATCAACAGACAAGGTTGCAAGCTCAGGCTGCTGGAGTTCCTTACTCGCATCCGCTAAGTAATCTTATTGGTCGAATGGCATATTTTGGACCAAACACGGTACGAGTGCAATGCTATTTCCTCGCTTTTTATTTTTTCAGAAAGTAATTCTTGTTTTGGCTGCTCTAATCTTTTGTTTATTGTTCTGCGCTGTGTTAGAATTGTGCTTAATTTTGCCTTTTGTCTACGTTTGGATTAGATGTTTGCTGATTTAAGATGTTCACCATCCTGTACACGTGCTGGAGTTCATGGCACTGTAGCACTTTGTCCTCCTGATTGTTTTCAGTACAAAGGAACATTAGATGTCTTCAACAAGATTATACGTCAGGTTGGTGTTGGAATACAGTCATCTTGTAGCTTGTGGATACGATTGTTGTAATAACCTAAAACAAACCATGTTACAGAGTGTGGTTCTTTATGCGCTTTTCTTTGTGTTTCTACTATTTTCAACTGCCTAACAAAAGAGGTTTTTGCAGGAGGGATTTTCTAGGCTGTGGAGGGGGACAAATGCAGGTCTGGCTTTGGCTGTACCTACGGTGAGTTCTCCTTTTAGTTAGGGAGCATTCTGCAGTCAGAGAAAGTATTTTGGATACAGACATCCTGTATTAAATAATAATCAAGCTTTTCTGATGGTCGCTCACATTTCTATACAGGTGGGGATCTATCTTCCTTGCTATGACATATTCCGCAACTGGATGGAGGGGCTTACAGCACAATATTTGCCCGGTGCAACACCCTATGTCCCTTTGGTTGCAGGCTCTTTGGCAAGGTCATTAGCTTGTGCAACATGCTACCCTATTGAACTTGCTAGAACACGCATGCAGGTAATTTTGATATTAATGCGTATACTTATCCTTATAATTGTTGTTAATATCATAGAAGTGGTTGCATCAGTACTACCATTATTTAATGTTATTATTTTTTTCCTTTTTGGTCAAAATAGGTTTCTTATCTTTTAACTTTTAAAATTTAATATTTTCCTATTCCTTGGCATTTTTTTAAACAAAAGATGAGGGAAAAATTGTAAATAAGTTTATAAATTTAATAGGTACCTTTTTGATATTATCTTTTAATTCGTTTCAGTTTTCTGTTCTAATCACAGGCATTTAAGGAGACTCAAATTGGGAAGAAACCTCCTGGAGTTTTTAGTACCCTTCTAGGAGTCATCTCCAATGTTAAGGGCACAAACCCTCAGAGCAGTTGTAAGTTAATCTGCAGAATACCTGTTTCTAGTTATTGTTCCCTTTTTAAACATTTTAAATGCTTCAGTTTTTGGGATATAGAATTTTTTGTGATTCTTGTCTTTCTACTTTCTATGTACTAGTCATATAAAAGTATGTAAATCTATCATTGATGTTTACTTTTGACCTACTCATTTCTGTTCAAGTTTTCATGACCCATTGGTTGGCAATTGTCATGAGGTTAATGAAAGTTCTTACTAAATACAAGATGTTTACAACATAGACTTTAAGAAAACTCCTCTGTAGTTTCAGAGTCAGAAATTACATTGATAAACTGTGTATAAGGTGTAAGCTTTAATTTTATTGTGGGACTTTAGCGACTTTGGAAGTATGGTATGTATCAGGTCTAGGCTAATACATTCATCTGTAGATTGCATAACATGCCAACTTGATAGCTGGAGTCTTCTATGAGCAGTTTGGGGCAATACAAAATGTTTATGCTTTGACTATGTTTGGTGAAGCCATATGGATAAACTAGTGATGTTTTTACTTTTCATTTTAGTGCAATTATTCTTCCATGCTAAAAGCTCACTGCATAAATCAGCTAAACCAGTTATTTTTGTAAAAATAAATATGATATTTTTTGCTGTGCTCAAAGAATAGTGTTCTTAGATAGAAGTTACTGTAATTCATTTCCATTGGGAAAGGAAGCGTAATTGTCAGGTTGCATTTTTTGTTGTCATATTGCATATAACAAATCTTTATTTTTGCCCCCAAAATTCTAACCCTGATTTTCTGATGTTTCCCTTGACAGTGCAAGGCTATCGCGTCTTATGGACAGGCATGGGAGCGCAGCTTGCTCGTGATGTTCCTTTCTCTGGAATTTGTTGGTCAACTCTTGAACCTGTGAGTTTTCATTTGTTAGAACTCCTATAGTTGTCTGCCCCTTCCCACCACTAGCAATATGGCTTTTAGGAAAAAAACATGGGCACTTTTGAGTGATCACATGCCATGCAACTGAAGTGCTTGGTACCGGTGTCTGTTTGTGTATGCAGATCAGGAGAAGACTTCTGGGTTTGGTGGGTGAAGAATCCAATGTGGCTACTGTCCTCGGGGCAAACTTTTCTGCTGGGTTTGTTGCTGGAAGCCTTGCTGCTGCTGCTACCTGTCCTCTAGATGTTGTTAAAACTCGAAGGCAGATAGAGGTTTTTCTCTTTCAAAAGCTAATTGATGATTCTTAATGTTAGCTGCACGTTGACTTTCTTGTTATATATATTAAAGTATTACTTAATTAGTAGTTACTTTCAGTATTTATTGAGTGGTAATTTATCCTAAGAAGTAGTTTAGAAGTGGGATATGAACTAGACTTAGTGTACATGCTGTTTTAGGTCAATACTATTTTCTAATGTGCCATCTTTGTCTTCAGAAGGACCCCGTGAGGGCATTGCGAATGACAACACGGCAGACACTGATGGAAGTTTGGAGGTATCTTTCCTTCTCCCTGTTTGTAAATTAAATTAGGCTTCTTTGGTGGAGATGATATTGTTGCAAATGACCTGGTTACAATTCCCCAAGTCTCAAACTTGCCCTATGACTTTTAATAATAAGTTGTTCATGGGCTCTAGTAGAAAACAGTTTGCTTGAAAAATAATTATATCTTTTAATAGGATAGGAGTCAAAGTTACTTGATTATAGTATTACTTTTGGAATCAGTTATTTCTTTCTGAAGTATCTAGCTTGGATAGCATTATTCTTCAGAAGCAATTTTTCTTGTTAATAGAATTTGAATTATTTTTATTTGTTGCTTGGTTGTGCTTCTTGGTTGAGTTATATCTTGTCATAATATACTTTTGACAGTGCTGCATTATGTGTGAGAACTGATCATGTTGATAGGATTTGACTCAAAACTTGCTTGTATGTATCATTTGGGATGAGTTGTTCCTTACTAACCATATCTTATTTGGAACAGGGATGGAGGGATGAGGGGACTTTTTACAGGAGCTGGTCCTCGTGTTGGTCGTGCAGGCCCTTCAGTTGGGATTGTGGTTTCGTTTTATGAAGTAGTAAAGTATGCCCTACATAACCATTATGCAACGTCATGACAAACAAGAGCTGATCCCCAAGCTTTTGGTCTACTAAACATTTGCTTCCTTATCGATGTTTGGTGACCTGGCATAGAGTAGGACTTAAAAGTTAGGGGGCAAGTTAAATCCTTCTGTGGGTAACGTAGCTTGCTGATGATATGCAATTTTGGTGGTGTACATCCTTTTCTCTACATCTCATGGTTTAACGTTGCGATGATACCATAGGTTGTTGGTAATAACAAGCGGTTTCCTTTGCAGTAGATCCTCATCTCGGTCTTCACAAGCACGGTAGCACATAAGTTTTACTTTCTTCAACAATTTTGCTGTTCATGTTACTCTGTTTGTACTGCTCAAGTTGAGCGAAAATTTTGATTCCTTTAGTTAATTGTTTTTGCTGAGATGGTCTCAGTTCTATTAATTTTACCCCCTTGCAATGAAAATTAAGGGGACTATTTTACCTTACAATACACGAGACTGGTCTTACTCGTTGGAGTGCAACTTGCAACTTATTTTATTTCCTAGTATGAAATATGTCTTGTTTCGCCGGAGAGTGGGAGCAAGGCTAGAATTACCGGGTTTGTGGGAAATGAGGGAAAATTGTCAAGAGTGCAGATCTTGAACTTTTTCGTTAGAAAATATATAAAATGTGGCACACAAAAAATTTGAAGTAAAACAAACCCTACGTGAAAATGGATAAGAAAATGAACCGTGTAAAGTGGAGATCCATTTTTCTTATTCAAAAGGGAATAAAAGTGTTTTCTTTTTAATAGCTTGAGGTTGTTTCTTCGTTTCTCTTCAAAATATCCATGATTCAAATATAGCCCCAGTTGTAGTTCACTAAATCCAAAGGAATACGGCATTCATCCAGCCAGAATTAACTTGAAATGAAAGGAGGCCTGATTAGGAATCTTTTTATTATTATTATTATTATTATGGCTAAAGGCAAAGATAGGATGGACAAAGTAAATTAGCCTCAAAGAGAATAGCCAAAAAGACTGGACATAATATAGGAAATGACAAGCACGATCCGAGTGGAGAATATCATTACAGAATATTTAATCTTCAAACGTACATGAAATGAAATCTCCTCCATCCCTACAAATTCTCCCCCATAGCTTGTGCCTAACTACGCTGCACACCATTGCCATTGAATTAGTATTCTCGCTGCTGCTTTTGTGTTGTTCCTCATCATCAACATTTAAACCGGCAAAAAAAAAATATTTAGCAAAATGTGACTGATTATGGCAACGTGCTGGCGAATTAGTGAATAAGGTATGTGAGTACCAAAGCCACCAACATTAGAATATATGCAATTCCTTGGTCAATGGCGGTGCCTGCAAACAAAATAGCAATACAAAATTAATGTTCATAATCAACTTACTTATATGCACGTATAGAGTATAATATGACGTGTGACCCTTTTTTAGAGAATTGAAGGTTTGATATTCACAATCTTCTTTGCTCTAGATATGGATATAATGATATTAAGGAAACCAACAAGAATTGATACGCTAGAAATTATATTCATATTAATGGTTTTCCTGAGAGAGTTCAAAGCACCAAACAAGTACACAAAGAAGAAGAATTGCTCCTTCTTCGATAATGTTTTTCTTTTATATATATCTTCTAGCATGCAGTTTTTCTTCATAATGATTAAGTATTCAATTATAACATACAAATGCAATAACATGAAAGGTATATATATATATATAAAAGAAAAACAAAGGGTTAGGACGCAGTTACCATCGCCTGTGGGCGCGGGAGCGGGAGCGGTGGATTGCGCCTGAGCCACCGGCAAAATAATGGCGCAAATGATAGCAATGATAGCAAAAAAGCCCAAAGAAATCCTTGGAACCGCCATCTTTTTGTTTTTATTTCTACTTCCTTCCTTTTTCCCTCTGTTCTTGGACAAATTATATCTCCTGCAAATAAGCAATACTAATCTCTTTGTCTCTCCCTTTCTCTCCCGACGGAATACAGAATATAGCGAGGGAGAGAAAGAAAGAAAGAGAAAATTAAAAGAAAAAGGCCAGAGAAGATGTAGAGAAGCCTAGGCAGAGCGAGAGAAGAGGCAAGGTGGTGAATGGCAATATGGGGAGGAAAACCATTTTATAGCGTTTTGAAGGAATTGGCTTCCAACTCAAGAGAGTGAGGTGCGAATGTTATGGCCCAATTTGCCGCAACTTTAGGCCGGAACCCACAGTCCCATGTTACTCTCCCATTCTCTTTTTTATTTTTTTATAATAATATACTATATTATTTTGCCTTGTTTTGTTTATTAATTCTTGGGTTTGGCTTTTGTTGCCTGTAATAATTCTAAGCTGTATTTGGAGAGAGAACATGACAGAACAGGCTGTTTTCCGCTTGATCAATTCTTGCCAGAATGGAATATCTTCCAATTTCCATTTACTTTAAATATAATTTGTGATATATTTTGTATAAGAACTAGGTATCTTTTGATGTTGGTTTAACTGTCTCGCAGTGTAAAGGTTTATGCACAAGCTTGATTGGAATATTCTAAATTTTGAATATTTGCTAGTGGTGTAAAGCATTTCTTCTACTACTCATCATGGATGTTTTTACAAAAAAAAAATAAAGGAAAGAACAAATGGACAACAAAGACGGAGGTATGTCTTGCAAAAAATATAATGTTATTCCCACCATTCATAAGTTTTATACCTAACAATTAACAGTTGTTAACGGCTGGCTTCCTTACCCAACAGGATCATGAAAGACATTACTATATATTTTACTTGTAGTTTAACATAAATTCATAATTTTAATGCTAACTATGCAAGATAATTAGCTTTCACATAGATATATAGTTTTACATGGCATTTTAATTTAGTTGACATGTATATATGTTATGTGTTTCATATTAGTAAAGATAAGATAGTTTTGAATTAGGTGGAGGAGTCAGGATTTCAAGTTTGAGAAGATAAAATTAAAAATTCAATATTTAGAAACGAAATTATAAAATTTTTAAAATATAAAAATAAAATTAATTTAGGAGAGCGGGGGAGGGTTCTCTATTAGCCCCGTTCCCCTGCCTCTACTTAAATTTATAAATAAAGAACATTCTTTCACATTTTTTTGGTTGGAAATTTGAACGCTTAACATCTAAAATCATAACTTATTTAACTTTTTATTGATGTGATATATATATCAGAATTGAGATAAGTTCGAATTAAGATAAGTCTTTATTCTTATGAATGAAAAATTCAATACAATCAAACCATTACACAATTGAGTGAGATAAGTTCGAATTAAGATAAATATTTATTCTTATGAATGAAAAATCCAATACAATAAACCTATTATAAAAAATACAGTAAGATAAAATATCACGTATTTCACGTTAATAAAAAATGAGATATATCATGAACTTACAAATAAAAGATATTCCTCCACTTGATAGATATCTTTCTGATTGGAAATGTGAGCTAGTAATATATAAGTTGCGGTCTTTGTGAAAACAGTTATTTCTTTTTATTTTCTTTACTACTCATTGCTTAAAATAATTAGAAATCAATTCTGTGAAGTTAATAATTAGAGAAAATAAAAAATAAAACTAAATAATTATTATTTTTGTTTGACACAATATGCCTATGAGATGTCATCGTCATCAATTTTATGCTTTGATGATTATATATATATATATATATACTAAAAAAGCCCTTCAAAAATGGAATTATATACATATAAGCATATCTATACCCTCTCATCTATCTTGAAACCAATGAATGAATTGACAAGGGCCAGGATTAAAGAAAGAGGAAGAGAAATCATAGCTACCGGTATTATTATTCTCTTTCAGACTTATAACACAAGGCGCGTAGTTTATTTGATTGATGTATCACTTGAAAACATTGTGAAATATTAGAAACATACTTGGACTCGATCACCCAAGGACGTACGTCTGGCCGTGACAGACTCGCAAAGGCTAAGGGCTTCCTCAGCACCTTAATCTACTATGCTGAATGCTGATATCTGTGCACTGCTTCAAATGGCTTAGGTGGGTAGTATCCTATCCTATTAGGCGGCCCATAAGAAAGCTCCCAAGCCCCATGGCAAATTTCCTCTTGTCCTCCACGTTCCCAATAACACGGAGTCCATATTCAGACAAAAGGAGGTCGAGCTTCTATTCTGGCATGCATTCCTAATCTGCTTTACTGCACCTGGAGTAGTGCAGTGGGATTTGGAAATAACACCCACGACGTCTTTCTCTCCCCTTCTCGCTCTTTGCCCCTCCATTCACTTCGAATGATACCGTTTCCATCTGTCCCCCTTAGAGAGACTGAGAGCGCAGTAGGTGAAGGGTAGTTATCTGCATCGTCGCGTACATAAATTGTGAGGAAAAACTAAGCGTTTCAGTTCCTTCTTGGTGGTCGCATTCTAATCGTTCTTGGAATCTAGCTATTGCCTGAGCTTTAATTTCTATAACGTTACATTAAAAGCATTTCTGGATTCTGGCCATCGAAACTTCCCTGGCCTGGCGTAACTTTACCCCACTCAATTTCTTAGGAGTTATTGTTAGCTACTTCGTCCACCAAGTTCGGCAGAAAGTCGTGTCATCCAATGATTTTATTTTGCGCGATATAGCATACCATTAGAGTTCGCCATGGTTTAAGACCCAATACTCATCATTAGCCAATAAATTAATAGTAATAACAAATCGCTGCGATTTGTTTTACAATTTAGTTCATTCACCCCCCAGAAGGATCTTTCTCTACATCTGTTTGATCCAACGATTTAATAAAGTTGTCTTACATACTATTCCAAGGCATGACTCATGATCACTGCAATAGCATTTACCATTTTCTTTCTTCTATTCGTTGATATGATTCCATAAAGAGCAGTTATAAATGCGCCGAAAGCAATTTGCTCCGCCACTTAAACCTATTTGTGATATTAACTAATCAGCATTGGCATTGTGATTAGCCCTCAAATTGCAGCTTTTGACAATGCTAAACACATCATTATTTGATTGAAATGTAGCTGCCTACTTGCAGAGACTTCTAACATGTTTATCAACATATAGCCAACGTCGTTGGCGAAAAACAACAGAAACCAAAACTTGTAACCTACTATTAAATACAAGATTAAGATTATATATAATATGCCCTATGTTCCACACAGACATTCAAAAAGTTGCTGATGCAAGCTGGTTATGTGCTTTGCTATATTACATATGTTCATGCAACAGTAGAAGATACCGGGTTCGTACCTTGCAGAGAATGGATAAATTACCAAAAACAACATTCCCTGGTTTTCAATTTGAGTCATCTTTGAATTAATTTGTTGCGGGGCAACCTGAAGGCCGAAAATAAGGATCTTCTTTGCTGTTGTAGATCTCAAACAGCTGCTTAGAATAGCGGGTTGCCAAATCCCTGCACAGCTCAACTGCATTTGAATCATATGCTTGCAACTCCCTCACAGATTTCTTTAGATCACCTTGTGGATCACCATCAGTTAAAAACTCTGCCAAAGTACAGCCCCTGCAAGACACAACAGAAATTCCAGCAATTACAAGTCAGCTGCTGGAAAAGTACGTAATTTTAAACTATATTTACGTGATGGTCTCCTAAATTTTAAAGATGAAGTGCGGCAACCATAGAACTATTGCCTCAGCCATGGTGAATGTTAATGCTGGAAGCAGGGATATTTTGTTTTATTTTAGGTATTACATCATTTTACCAATTAGCTTAGGATAGAAAAGGAACAAAAACTGCATGAAAGAAAAAATCCTATAATAAATTGTCAAAAAACTAAAGGCAAAAATGTTATGCATCTCCTAAATAGTTAAAATGTAAAACATTATGAAACCATGTGTTGAAGCAAGCATGCAAATGTATCTCAACGTACAAGTGAACATTTTCAAACCCTTGTTAACAGATATTATTAATGACCATAAACATTCAAATCCACACCTGTGGGCATCAAATTTACTAAAACCTCTCTGATTTTGTAAGAACGTTGACTTCCAAAGTTTCTCCCCTGAGGTTTGCTGCCGGTAGAGAGCACATACAGCCTTCATGCACAGTTCCAGATCCTTGCCAAAGGCTGCAAGCAGCTCTCCCTCAAACTTCCAATCTGATTTATGATCCTTGTTCCTTTTAAGTTGAGAGAGAATCACATCAAAGTCCACTTCATCATCTGAAACATCTTTTGAGCCACTGCATGCACTGCTGCCACTTGAAACATCTTCTGACCCACTATGAGCATTGTTGCAATCAGAACCACCTTGTGACTCACTACAGCCATTGTCACCATCAGCGATAGCAGAGTCATCAACAATAAATCCATTCAGACTATCACTCTCACTATCTGATCCAAATGCTTCTGAACTGTCAGCTTCGACATCCTCAGTTTTAGTGATTCCTTTGCAGCATTCATTTTCACTGGTCTTCTTAGAGTAATTTTTGACCTCACTTTTTCTTTCAGATTGTCTCAGTGATACTAGTCTCCGTTTTCGCGGAGTTACAGTACTTCTGACATTATCAATCCCTGGTGGGATAGCAGCCACTGGACAACCTTTGGCTTTGGTGCTTGTTTGGTCAGAAACCACTTCCTCACAACGCATCCTCCAGAGTCTACCAATTGGAACATTATCATCATCGTCAATCTCTGTGTCACTAGTAACAATATTCAAGGCTCGTTTTCTTTTGGAAACTGAAATAAATGGAACATTATCTTCACAACTACCCACTTGTTCCTCTAGCTTCTGACCACCAATGGTCCTGTTTTGCTTCCCACTACCTACAGTTCCGTCTAGTTCATTATTGTTTGAAATGTTACCCTTACTGTATTCCTGCTTACTTGTAAACGGGGCCAAATCAGGTTCATCATCACTATCATGAATATCAATTATGCTGACTGATGCAGGTTTAGCACCATTCGGAGTAGATGGAGCCATCTGTTTACTTGGGCTTCTTTCCTCTTGAAATCCCAGATGTCTTTTAACTTGTTTACTATTCTGCAATCTGCTATAATCTCCCTCATCAGAAGTGAAATGCTTACAAGGTGTGTCACTAAAAGGTGTCCCTGCCACCAAATCAAACACCAAAATGGAAGATAAAGATTATGATGTCCTACCTATTGCCCCTCAATCAGAAATAAATTAATTTTCTTCTTAAGCAAATTATTATTTTCCTGTAATAACAGGTATGCTTGTGTTTGAAAAGAAAAAGGATAGAAACAAGGATATTACTGAGTACTTACTAAATATCAGATACAATGTAAGTAAATGCTTATGACCTCTATGTGCAAATGAGTCTCATGTTCTAAAGAACGATGCATGTAAGATCTAATAGATATAGAGGTGAATCCATTCTATTTATTGACAACTGAAATGCACTTGGCTTCCTAAAGCTGGCATCACTCGGATGAGAAAATATTAAACCTAGAATAGGGGATCAAAGAATCATCATTACCTGCTGATTGAAGATTTCCAGCACCTTTACCAGGGGAAATCAGAGTAGATCCAGAACCCATGAAACCTACTGCTTTGGCTATGGCTCTCATGTCATTCAAGGTGTTTTCAACGTGTGATCCATCTTTTGATTCAATTGCTTCACTTGCTTTGTTTCCAAAAGCTACAATATGACAATTCCCATCAGATTTCTTCCCATCAAATGGCTGTTCTGCACTTTTCAAAACCAAACTCTTTCGCAGCAGTGACGTCAATGATTCCAATTCCTTGAACTTTTGCTTCCAAACCTCAGCCTCATTTTCAGCCTCGCTCTTCTC